AATTTAAAATATTTTTAAAATCATATAAAAATTTCAATAACTTCTCAAATACATAATATGACATAAATTAAAATTAAAAAATATATATATATTGGGCCCCGTGCTGGCACGGGATCCTATATCTAGTATAAACATACAATTTGTTCTCTGGTTGTTGGTCTTGTTCTTTCAAAGCTACCATCTGGCTTCTTCAACTACTGTTTGATTGGAAACGTTTTCCTTCTCACTCATTTTCTTATGACTTTAAATATTCCGACCCCCTTTTGTTGGCTTTGTTTATTTGTTTTTCGAGTTAGATTTCTTGTCTGGTCATACGTAACTCATCTAATAATTATTATTTCATAAAGTTATTTTTTTTGTTGAAAAAAATAATCATAATAAAGAAGTAATATATTTGATAAATCAATAATTTGTTTCTAAGTATTGGATTGAATAATTGTTACCTTGATTATTCTGTCTGGTGTTCATCTTAAATTTTGGTTTGACATACAAAGAAGGTGAGATTGAATTATCATCAGAGAAAATTAAAGATTAAATTGGAACATAGCTAGGATTAGTTACCTATTAAGTACAATTAAGAATCATTGATTATGATTTAGGTAACACTACTAAGTAGTAATAAATAGAGTACTTTTTTCCGTTCATTTTTACTTGTTTACTATTTCAAATATTTTCATGGAAATTAAATACTTGAATTGCTTAGTCTTCTTTTGACTTGACTACTCAAAATGTTGAAATATTACAGGAAAAACTAGCAAAGAATTAAAGGTGCACATTTTGCCAAATTAAAGCAATGGATTACTCTCTTGCCATTACTTATGCTACTACATCTATCATTTTTCTCTACTTCATTTACATGCTCTTTGGGATTTTTAGTAACAAAAAGGGTAAAACACCTCCTAAAGTTGCTGGATCCTGGCCTGTAATTGGCCATCTCCATCTTTTCAGTGGATCTAATCTGCCTCACAAAACATTTGGGCTTCTGGCAGACAAATATGGCCCAATTTTCACAGTAAAATTTGGAGCCCATCAAGTTTTGGTGGTGAACGATAGGAAAATAGCCCAAGATTGCTTGACTACCAACGATAAGGCCTTGGCAAGCCGGCCTAAAGCGTTGGCAGTAGAGCTCTTGGGCTATAACTACGCCATTTTTGGGCTTGGCCCATACGGCCCATTTTGGCGAGAAATGAAAAAAATAGTCGTACTCGAATTACTCTCCAATCGTCGTGTACAAATGTTAAGACATATTCGAGAATTTGAAGTGAAAACATCTATCAAAACAATGTATGAAAGGTGGTCGAAGGAAAAGATGAATGATTCTTCAAATTTCGTCAGAATAGAAATGAAACAATGGTTTGAGAACTTGGCCATGACGATTATTATAAGAATGCTTTTTGGAAAAGAACACGATTTTGAAGAAGGAAAAAGGGCTAGAAATGTAATGACAAATTTTTTCAAGTTACTTGGTGCATTTGTTGTAGCTGATTTTATACCATCACTAAGATAGTTAGATATAGGAGGATATGAGAAGGAAATGAAGAAGAATGCTAAGGAAATAGATTATATTCTTGAAAAATGGCTAGTAGAACACAAGAACAAGAGAAGTTGTGGAGAAAATAAATGTGAGGATGATAAAGATTTTATGGATATAATGTTGTCCCTTTTCGAAGATGCTATGGATGAAGATCTTGCTGGTTTTGATGCTGATACTATTATCAAATCTACATGTTTGGTAAGTTTATTATAATCTACTCTTTCTACTTTTTATTCTATTTGTGTGGCTATAAAAGTCCGTCAATTATTAGAGGTAAAATGAAGATTTTGAATTAATCGTTTTATCTTATATACTCTAGTACTATATATACTATATCTGAATTTTATTAGACATATATTTATGTGTGTGTGTGGGCGGGGGTTGTTTTTACAAAATATAAACTTGTGGGTCAATTTTTATATTTGAAAAATCTCAAATCATGATTTTTGGAGACTTTGAAATTTCATTTCATGATATGAAATCAACACAAAACATGTCATTTTTTCGAGACGGACTAAAAATGAAAGCAAGTTATACAAATTGGAATAGAGATATAGTATATCTTTTCCTTTTAATCTGACATATATTATACACCATATATACTATATCTGAATTTTAGTCTTTTCATTTATAAAAGTCATTATATAATTTAGTAATTTCTTTTTCTCCTTTTTCCTATTTTGGAAGTCTATGTTAGCAGGGGGATCCGACACCATAATTGTAGCATTAACATGGACTCTCTCTTTGTTACTCAACAACCCTCATGTAATGCAAAAGGCCCAAGAAGAACTAGACATTCAAGTTGGAAAATATAAACTTGTTGATGAGTCACATATAAATAGCTTGGTCTATCTTCAAGCTATTGCTAAAGAATCGTTACGTTTATATCCACCTGGACCACTCTCAGCGCCCCATGAATCCATAGAAGATTGCATTGTTGGTGGCTATAATATCCCTAAAGGTACTCGAGTACTATTCAACTTGTGGAAGATTCAACGGGATCCGACCGTTTGGCCAGAACCCGATTTATTCAAGCCAGAGAGGTTCTTGACGACTCATAAAGATATAGATGTTAAGGGAAATCATTTTGAGTTGATTCCATTTGGCGCTGGAAGAAGAATTTGCCCGGGGATTTCGTCAACACTTGTGTTGTTGCACTTGACTTTGGCTAACGTGCTACATGCATTTGAAATTACAAGGCCATCTGATGAACCAATTGACATGACTGCAAGTTTTGGTACGAAAACTACACCACTCGAGGTTCTCATTGCTCCAAGATTGTCCCCAGATTTGTACTATTAATAACTTATGCCACTGAACTTAAGTCAAGACTTTTGGAGAACTTTTTTTTTAAGACATAACTTCTATCACTAAATTTATGTCCTGTGACATAACTTGTGCCCGAAACTTATGTTGTCCTATGGTAAACTTGAGTCATTGAACTTATCTTAGGAAATAATTCGGGTTATTAAACTTATGCATTGAACTTAATCTATTTTGCTTCCAAGGATGTTTCCCCTCTTTCCGTCCGTCGTCTTCTGTAAGAACGAGAGGGATGGGCTCCTTGCTAGAATTGCTACCACCCTTTCTCATGACTTTTCTTTGCCAAAAAAATCCCACGTATGAAGCAAGCAGAACTTATGCCTTGGGGCACAATTTATGTCTTGACTTATTTTTATTTTGCATTGGTGCATATATAACTTATGCCTTGCGGTTTTATTTTTATTTTTTTCGTTGTTAGGGACAATTCCTATCATTTTTTATTTAAAATTTTTAAAGATAAAAATTAAAAACCATCAATTTTAAGGAGCAAAAATTAACGAACTCCCAAAAAAAAGCATTTGTGTGAAGGTCTCATTATTGCCTTTTTGGATCCTAGTTTATGCTACTAAAATAAAATATCAATCCTACTCTCTTATTATTTAACGCTACTTAGCACCGCTTATGTGGTTGTGTGAGAGGAAAGAATGATCAATTAGAGTTAAGTAGCATAAAGTAGGAATGAAAAAAAGGAAGAGGAAGACTGCTTTTAAGTACTCCCTTTATTTTATATTAACTCAATTTTTTAGTCTTTTTTTATTGTTCATAATAATTGAATTGTTCAAAGTTTAAAATGAATATCTGAAATATTTTCTATATTTGCCCTTTCCTTTAAAAAAATTTGATATTTTCTAAGAGATAAATTGCACTATTTACAAAGTTACGTTTATGATTTCACAAAAGACAATAATAGAAATTGTGATTTAATAATATAATTGAATGTTTTTCTTAATAAGTGTGCATTGTCTCAAAATTCAGTTAATATGAAATAGAGGGAATATTATTCGGTAGTGTTAGGTAAGAGGAGAACAAGATAAATTAGAAGATTGATTAAGTACCTGTTATTAAGTGGCGTTAAGTATAATTAAGTACCTATCATTAAGTAGCGTTAGGTAAGAGGGGAGTAGGATTATTAATTATATAGAGTAGCATAAAGTAGGAATAAGGAAGACGTCTCAAGTACCTATCAAGTATTAAAAAGTATGTTAATTATGATTTTATGATTAAGTAGCGTTAGGTAACACTAATAAGTAGGAATAAATACTTTTTCACTATTTCAAAAATAGATTTTTTTTTAATTTGTTACTTCTTCATATTGTACTCTTTCAACATTAAATACTTACTCGCAGTGGTACAATATTACAGAAGCAACACACCAAATTGAGGAAAAAACAGCAAACCATTCTTTCAAATTAAAGCAATGGATTTCTCTCTTGCCATTACTTATGCTACTACATTTATTATTTTTCTCTACTTCATTTACATGCTTTTTGGGATTTTTAGTACCAAAAAAGGTACAACACCCCCTAAAGTTGCTGGATCATGGCCAATAATTGGCCATCTCCACCTTTTCAATGGATCTAAGATGCCTCACAAAATTCTTGGGCTCATGGCAGACAAATATGGGCCAATTTTCACAGTAAAATTTGGATCCCATCAAGTTGTGGTGGTGAACAATAGGAAGATAGCCCAAGATTGCTTTACTACCAACGACAAGGCCATGGCAAGCCGGCCTAAATCGTTGGCATTAGAGGTCTTGGGCTACAACTACGCCCTTTTTGGTATGGGCCCTTACGGCCCATACTGGCGAGAAATGAAAAAAATAGTTGTACTCGTATTACTCTCCAATCATCGAGTACAAATGCATCGACACATTAGAGAATTCGAAGTCAAAACATCCCTCAAACAAATTTATGAAATGATGAATGGTTCTCCAAATACTGTGAAAATAGAAATGAATCAATGGTTCGAGAACTTGACCATGAACGTTATTGTAAGAATCCTTTTCGGTAAAGAACATGATTTTGAAGTAGAGAGGGCTAGAAAAGCAATTCGAACTTTTATGAATTTATTTCGTGTATTTGTTGTAGCTGATTATATGCCTTCACTAAGATGGTTAGATATAGGAGGATATGAAAAGGAAATGAAGGAAAATGCTAAGGAAATAGATTATATTCTTGAAAAATGGCTAGTAGAACACAAGAAAAAGAGAAGTTGTGGAGAAAAAAAATGTGAGGATGATAAAGATTTTATGGATATAATGTTGGCCCTTTTTGAAGATGCAATGGATGAAGATCTTGCTGGTTTTGATGCTGATACCATTATCAAATCTACATGCTTGGTAAGTCTATTTTAATTGAACTACTTTCTACTTTTTATTTTTATTTATGAGGTAATAAAAAGACGAAATGAAGGAGTATCTTTTCAATACTTCTAGCAAATTTACTATTATTTTTTTCCTATTTTGGAAGGCTATGTGGGCAGGAGGATCTGACACCATAGTTGTAGCACTAATATGGATTCTCTCTTTGTTACTCAACAACCCTCATGTAATGAAAAAGGCCCAAGAAGAAATAGACATTCAAGTTGGAAGAAATAAATTTGTTGATGAGTCACATATAAATAACTTGGTTTATCTTCAAGCGATTACTAAAGAATCGTTACGTTTATATCCACCTGGACCACTCTCAGTCCCTCATGAATCCATGGAAGATTGCACTGTTGGTGACTATACTATCTCAAAAGGTACTCGAGTACTATTCAACTTGTGGATGATTCAACGAGATCCAACCATTTGGTCAGATCCTGATGTATTTAAGCCAGAGAGGTTCTTGACGATTCATAAAGATATAGATATTAAGGGAAAACATTTTGAATTGATTCCATTTGGTGCTGGAAGAAGAATTTGCCCCGGGATTTCCACAAGACTTGTGTTGTTGCACTTGACTTTGGCTAACGTGGTACATGCATTTGAAATTACAAGGCCATCTAATGAACCAATTGACATGTCCGCCAATTTGGGGATAAAAGAGACACCACTCGAGGTTCTTCTTGCTCCAAGATTGTCCCCAGATTTGTACTACTAAGTATAAACTCCTTATTAGTAAACTCTAAATAAAAAAATATGTCATTTAACAATAGACACCATTGAAACGTACACTTTTAAAAATACATATTATCAAAGAGTACTAAAGCCTTTACCTGCATTAATTAATTGTCATTGGATCCGATGTTGCTATAACTAGGCTTTAGGGACATTTACAAAGAATGTTAATTGCCGTTAAAAATACATATTTAGCTATAATTAAGCTATTGCCGTAATTAATTACCGCTAAAGATCATTTTTAGTATCGTGCATCTTCACCATATTGTTCATAATTAAACAATTCGTTCGTCTCTATGTTCACAGCACCATATTTGTTTGCGAAGATAGAAGAAAATAAAGAAGGAGATAGCTAGTGTAAGGGCAATCAGAGAGAAAACCATGGCTATATTAAATATCGTATAAAATTAATACATAAGTTAGGAATGAATTTATACACATAATTAATCAGTGCATCAATTACTTAAATCTCTTCATGATGTAACTTTATTCATGTGTTAGTAAAACATGCATGATTTTAAGTAGCTATCAAACGACCCCATATTGGTTACGTTTGTCTTCCATTATATTGATAAGTAACTTCTCATTGATGAATCCAATATTTGAAAACGAAAAGACAATTCTTCTGATTATAGATTAAGAGCTTGTTTGAATTGACTTATTTTAAATGTTTGTATGTTAAATGGAGTACTATTATTATAAAGATCTCTTCGTTTCAGATCTCATATATATATATATATAGAAATCTTCCGTAAAACAAACATAAAACTAAAATACAACATTGTAATTATCAAAAAGTTATAGCATAATTATAACCTTAATTTACTGAAAAGGATCAGCTTTTCATTCATAATAAAGATTAGAATTCAAGCGTGGAGTAGGGTGAACTTCGAGTGGAGAAGCTTTGAGAATTGTCAATCCAAAGCTCTCACTCATATCAATTGCTTCATCTGAAGGCCTCTTAATATCAAACCCCTGCAGTAAAATAGCCAACACATATTGCACAACTTGAAGGGCGAACGAAGTTCCGGGGCAAATTCTTCTTCCAGTACCAAACGGAATCAACTCAAAGTGATTACCCCTTACATCAACATTTTTGTGAGTCGTCAAGAACCTCTCTGGCTTAAACTCGTGAGGATTTGGCCATATTTTAGGATCGTTACGTAACTTCCATACGTTCACTAATAAGCGAGTCCCTTTTGGTATATCATATCCACTAACAACACAATCCTCAATCGACTCGTGGGGTAGTAAGAGTGGTCCTGGTGAATATAAACGTAACGATTCCTTAATAATAGCTTGAAGATAAACCAAGTTCTTGATGTCCGATTCTTGAACCCATCTATTCTTGCCAATATGAGTGTCTAGTTCATCTTGGGCCTTTTTTAATGCTTCGTAGTTGTTTAGGAGTAAAGATAAAGTCCATATTAGAGTTACGATTGTGGTAACAGTACCTGCCGATAGCATAATCTACCAATCCAAAAACCAAAAAATTCAGCAGTTCATTTCACTAAATATGTACATAATGAGTGAAAAAATAATACTACTACTCCCATGTGTCCTATGAACACTACTTATTCCTGTATTTAGCATTTCTTAGTTTCAACATCTGTACGCGTGACATATTTAAGATCACAATATTTAAACAACATTTTGATGTGTTTTTAACTAGGAAAGTAACGAAGAACGTACCATACAAGTAGCTTTGATAGTGGTATCAACATCAAAACCATGAATATTCTTGTCTTCATGACAAATGGACAACATGACATCCATGAAATCATCTTCATCCTTACATTTATTTCCCCTTAATTTCCTCTTTCTTCTATGCTCAGATAACCAATCTTCAACGATAAAGTCGATTTCTTTCGCAGTCTCTTTCATGGCCTTCTCATGTCCTCCAATATCCAACCATCTTAGATAAGGTAAAAAATCAGCCACAACAAAAGCACCCAACAATTCAAAAAGTCTCCGAATTGCTTTGTGAGCTTTACTTTTTTGTTCATCTTCATTACCTGTTACATAGGCGGATCTAAGATTTAATCTTTACGGTTAAAAATTCTTGAAAATATGAGCACAAAACATAATACTTTGTACTATTACTTAATAACATAAATACAAAATTATACTTGTACCTTTATATTGTACTCCAAATAGCATCTTGACCATAGTGTTCATAATTAAATTCCCAAACCATTCCTTCATCTCCATCTTCACAACACCATTTAAATTACTAATACTACTATTATAAATCTCTTTAACAGCTGATTTAACTTCGAACTGTTTGATGTGTTGGAGCATTTTGATTCGCCGAGCTGAAAAGAACTCAATGGTGACTATTTTTCTTATCTCTCTCCAGTAAGGCCCATAAGGCCCAAGCCCAAACATGGCGTAATTGTAGCCCAATATCTCCGAACCTATGGATTTGGGCCGAGTTGCAAAGGCCCTGTCATTTGTAGTGAAACATTCTTTGACTATTTTGTGATCACTCACAATTACTACTTCATTTACTCCGAGCTTTAATCGAAAAATAGGACCGTATTTTTCTGCCATTTGGCCGTAGATTTTGTGAGGCATTTGAGGTCCGTTGAGTAGGTGGAGATGGCCGATGATAGGCCATGCTCCGGTAGGTTGTGGTACACCTCTATTTCGCGTATAATCTGAGAAAAATAGTTTGCGAACATAGAAGAAAAGAAGGAAGGAGATAGCTAGCGTAAGGGCAATTGGAGAGAAATCCATGGCTTTGATGATTAATTTGTTACGTTGTTAGCCTTCTTTTTAAAGTGAATGAAAATGTATTAAAATTAATACCAAATAAGTTATGAATTATTTCATACACATTATTAATCAGTGCATCAATTACTTAAATTTCCTTATGATGTAACTTGTTCATATGTTTTATCAAAACATGCATGATTTTATGTAGCTATCAAACAACCCCATATTGGTTAATGGTTACGTTGGTCTGCCTTTATATAGATACTTAAGCTTTTCTAAAAAATAAATAAATTATATACGTGTCTAAATTCTGTGCACCGCATTATTGACTAGTGGGCCAAAAATGACCTACTTTAAGTTTAGGATGAACCATTTTTTATAGAAAAACTACGTAAATGGGCCATAAAACTCAAAATAATTACATGTTCATACTTCAATCCAAAGTAATTCAAAAAATACTCATTTTCTCTAAATAAAAAAGAGCAACTTTCACATATAGCAAATATAAAAATCATATTTGTATGCTATAGTTATAGTTTGCATAATTGCGCTCCATAGCAAACATAAATATGTATATTTCGCTATACATGTACAAAAGAAAGCAATTGTATAATCTGTTTCGGTATACATATACAAAAGATCAATTGTATAATTTGTGTTTGTATAAAGCGAGAAAGAGAGAAAGACAAAAGAAAACTGGGCAGGGGAAGATCGTATTTGTATAATCATAAGTGTATAGCACGAAAATAGATGCATTTGTATATACAATTTTCTCTCGCTTTATACAAACACAAACGCAATGTATACTTTTGTGTTTGTATAAAGTGAGAGATGCGAGTGAGAGTGACGAGCAAGATCTGGGAGAAGGGAGAGAGGGGAACGGAATTAAATATATGTATATATACAATTTTCTCTCGATTTATACAAACACAAACACATTTTATACATTTGTGTTTGTATAAAAGTGAGAGAAGCGAGGGAGACTGCCTAACGAGAACGAGAGTGGCGAGCGAGATTCACCAGGAGAGAGGCGAAATAACAACAGTTTGCTATGGGGTACAATTAAATCAAACTATGGTTATAGCATTTAATTTGAATTAATAGTTTGCTATTATATACAATTTTCCCAAAAAAAATAGTTACATCCTATACCCCATTCATTAATGCAGATAATTTTCGCTTAACTGATATTAAATCAGTATCATATATTGTGTTGGTGTATCATTAAGACTGATAATATCACTTAGCTGATACTAAATCAGTATATATATACTAAATTAAGTTTTTTTGCATATTTGTTTTTTCAATCAGATTTGTAAATCATATTTCAAGAGAACTTAACAACTAATAATGTCTAAGATTCACACTAAAAATGGAGCAAAAATGTATTTTCTTAACATGTATCCGAGATATTTGTATTTGAAGATCAAAATAGGTGATATGAATGATAATATTGAAAACTCATGAAAAGATAGATTATTAGCACATAAACTAATGAGATATGTATTAATTACCACTGGAAAATTCTGGAAGTTACATGCTGACATTTTACTTTCACCATTATGGTGGATCAATCCAAAATTGGATTATTTTAGGCCCACGTGTGTAATTATTTTTATAAAATGTACTCATGAATTTACTTTTACTTGTTTCTTCAAAATTAAATAAAATTATATTAATTTAATATTTAAAATTTAAATATATAAAAACTATTCAAAAAATGTGTCCATGCATTTGTACCCTATGATTGCAAAGTAATTCGAGTACAACTATTTTTTTCATTTCTCGCCAATATAGGCCATAAGGGCCCATACCAAAAAGGGCACAGTTGTAATTTTGTAGACAACGCTTTAGGCTACTTTGCCAAGGCCTTGTCGTTGGTAGTAAAGCAATCATGGGTTATCTTCCACCACCATTGTGAGTAAGTATTAAACGTTGAAAAAGTACATTATGAAGAAGTAACAAATAAAAGTGAAAATTAATTTTTGAAATAGTGAAACTGTAGAAATACTTATTCCTACTTATTAGTGTTGCCTAACCCTACTTGACCACAAATCAAAATTAACAATACTTAATACTCCCTCAGTCCAACAATAGTTGTTCACTATACTATGTTGGGATTAGATGTCCAATAATAATTGTCCATTTTATGAAATCAATGGATAATTTTAAACTTACTCAAAGGATAATTATAATACGTAATTTCTCTATTACATTTTTCAAGACATTATATTTATTTCATTCAAATGGTGATATAGTAAAATACCCTTCTTCCTCCTCTTCCTTATTTACTTTATGCTACTCAACTCTATATAATTAATTAATCCGTATCCCCTCTTACCTAACACTACTTAATCATAGTTAACGCCACTAAATAACAGGTACTTAACCAGTCTTCTAATTAATCCTGCTCTTCTTTTACCTAATGCTACTTTATAATAGGTACTTAATCATACTTAACAACATCTAATAGCATGTACTTAATCAGTCTTCTAATTGATCCTCCTGATCTCCTCTTACTTAACTCTACTTAATAAAGTGGACCTTTGGTCCTATTTCAACTAAAATAAAATAAAAATGATGAGGTAAATAATTAATAAAGAAAATAATTGAAATGTGGCACTTTTCAATTGGTTTTTGACAGCAAAAAAGGACCTTCGCGCGCGTCATGTGCGTGGTCACAAATATAGTGAGTGAGAAAATGAGTTAAAATGGTCATTTTACAAAGATACTCAATACTTTTGTTGGGTAATAGGACACCCACAAAGTTAATGTGTCTTTTTTAAAATTCAAGACAACTTCAGTGGTAACTTTATGTCTTTTCTCTTTAGAAAACGTATTTATGAGTTTACTTTTACTCGTTTCTTAAAAATTAAATAAAATAATATTAATTTAGTATTTAAAATTTAAATTTTTTAAAACTATTCAAAATATACTACTATAGTCTATAAATTGAAAAGAAGCATAACTACGTAACAAATTAACCATAGCCATGGATTTCTCTCTGATTGCCCTTACACTAGCTATCTCCTTCCTTTCTTTCTTCTATGTTCGCAAACTATTTTTCTCAGCTAAAAAGCAGAGTAAAAATGTACCAGAAGCTGCCGGAGCATGGCCGATTATCGGTCATCTCCACCTGCTCAACGGACCTCAAATGCCTCACAAAATCTTCGGCCAAATGGCAGAAAAATACGGTCCAATTTTCCGATTAAAGCTGGGAGTAAATGATGTAGTAATCGTGAGTGATCACAAAATAGCCAAAGAATGTTTCACCACGAATGACAAGGCCTTTGCGAACCGGCCCAAATCCATAGCTTCAGAGATATTGGGCTACAATTACGCCATGTTTGGGCTTGGGCCTTATGGGCCTTACTGGAGAGAGATTAGAAAAATAGTCACCACTGAATTCCTTTCAGCTCGGCGAATCGAAATGCTTAAACACGTTAGAGAATTTGAAGTAAAATCAGCTGTTAAAGAGACTTATGAATATTGGCTGAAAAATAATTTAAATGGTGCTGTGAAGATAGAGATGAAGGAATGGTTTGGGAATTTAATTATGAATACTATGGTCAAGTTGCTATTTGGAGTACAATACACAGGTATTTAATTTTGAATTTAATCATCAATATGTTATTACATATATATGACTAAGTAAGTATTATTCAAAAATTAGTAATTTGAATCTCGAAATTCCAAACATAGAGTAGAGTACTAGAATTAAGTTTTGAGTTCATATAGTACTTGTAGAAATCTGGATGTTGAACGAAATTTAAATTTTGGATTCACCTACCTCTGTAACAGGTAATGAAGATGAAGAAAGGAGTAAAGCTCACAAAGCAATTCAGAGACTTCTTGAATTGTTGGGGGCTTTTGTTGTGGCTGATTTTTTACCTTATCTAAGATGGTTGGATATTGGAGGACATGAGAAGATCATGAAATCGACTGCTAAAGAAATTGACTTTATTGTTGAAGATTGGTTAGCTGAGCATAGAAGAAAGAGGAAATTAAGGGGAAATAATTGTGGGGATGAAGAAGATTTCATGGATGTCATGTTGTCAATTTGTGAAGATAAAAATCTTCATGGTTTTGATACTGATGCCATTATCAAAGCTACTTGTATGGTACGTTCTAAAAATGCATAAATAATACGTAAACATGTCTTTTAACTTGGCACTTATAACGTCAGTGATTATTAATATCTTGCTATATATTGTAAAATGTGGAGTTGATTGCTGAAATTGGCAGGCTCTGCAAACGGCAGGTACCGATACCACAATCGTAACTCTAATATGGATTTTATCTTTACTCCTAAACAACTACGAAGCATTAAAAAAGGCCCAAGATGAGCTAGACACTCATATTGGCAAGAACAGATGGGTCCAAGAATCGGACATCAAGAACTTGGTTTATCTTCAAGCTATTGTTAAGGAATCGTTTCGTTTATATCCAGCCGCACCGCTCATGTTACCGCACGAGTCGATTGAGGATTGTGTTGTTAGTGGATACGATATACCAAAAGGGACTCGCTTATTAGTGAACGTATGGAAGTTACAATACGATCCTGAAATATGGCCAAATCCGCATGAATTTAAGCCAGAGAGGTTCTTGACGACTCATAAGGATGTTGATGTAAGGGGTAATCACTTTGAGTTGATTCCGTTTGGTAGTGGAAGGAGAATGTGCCCCGGTGTTTCCTTGGCCCTTCAAGTGTTGCAATATGTGGTATCTGTTTTATTGCAGGGGTTTGATATTAAGAGACCTTCAGATGAAGCAATTGATATGAGTGAGAGCTTTGGATTGACAATTCTCAAAGCTTCTCCACTCGAAGTTCAACTTACTCCACGCTTGGATTCTAATCTTTATTATGAATAATAAAATGTTGATCTTTTCTAATAAATTAAGGTTATAATTATGCTATATTGATAATTACAATGTTGTATTATAGTTTTATGTTTGTTATAGGGGAGTGTAGACATAAGAATTCTCGTCCAGAAAATAATAATCAAGATAAAAAAATATTGCAATAATTGTGTATTTATTTGTTATCAAAATATGCATGTTACAATCCTCTATGAATCTTCTGATTCATTTTTTTCGAATATAAATTCAAGGACTCTTGAGCTTTATCTTGTATTCAGTGGCTTTGATTGTTGTGAACCAAGTAAACTCTGTAAGGGCGTATGAGTTAGAAGTGGTGAACGAGATTGAGCCAAGTAAAATATTGAAGTGTTTTAATTGGGATCCAGGCCCAATTAACATTTGATTAAAAGGGAGAAAAAGTTTGAAAGAAGGGTTAATGGATATTGAAGAAAAATGCCCGTCCTCTTCTTATTCTAGAGTCTAAGTTTCTCGTCCTCGTTCTTATCTCTATCGTTGTAACTTGTTATTTTCATGCTTTCATTGTAATTCAGTCGTATGGGTATTGCAATTACGATTCTAAAGTTGTAATCGCGTTTCAGTTCTCTTATCAATATAGTGAGCAATTCAGGTTTGCTACATTGGTGCTTTCATTGATCGTACTCCAACAATGGCGATGTTTCTACCTAGATTCAGTGGTGAAGGCAACCCAGAAAGTTGGATTTTTCGAGCTAAGTTGTACTTCACATACCTTGGCTTCGATGCGAATGACTGGCTTCCGCTTCATTCATAATGACCTTGAGGGTGAAGCTTTGACTTGGTTTAATAGCTTATTTTGCAACAATCTATTTTTGGATTGGACGCATTTCAAGGATAAATTTGCTCAGCAATTTCGCCAACAAACCAACAATGATGTGTTGAGGCGTCTAGCTAATTCCTCACGAGTTCATTTTGACGGTGTTAATTTTGTTCCTATAGTTTCACAATCATCTGTGGTGTCTCCTCTTCCTGCTCCCGGTCGTGTTCCAAAGTCCTCTACGTCTGTATTAACCTACAACACTGGAATCAAAAAATTAAATTAAAAATAAGTCAAAAGTCAAAATAGGATATCCCATATTTATTACTGACTTATAAGTGTATATACTTTTTATAAGCCTATTCAAACATACTCTAACGGCTCGTTTGGTGTGAGGGATTAAAAATAATAGTGATGGGATAAGTTATGCCATATACATGGTGGGATAAGTTATCCTAGGATAGCTAACCCCGGGATAACTTATCCTGGGATAACTTGTTTCTAACCAAACGACCCCTAAGGGCCTTGTTGAATCGACTTAAAATCAAATGTTTATAAACACTTCCTTAATTTAATCAAACACTCCAAATATATTTAAAAGTTATTTTTAACTTAAAAATAAGTCAATTCAAACAAACTCTTAATCGATTATGAGAAGAATTGTCTTTTCGTTTACAAATATTGGATTCATCAATGAAAAGTTGATCATTATGGTGAAAAAGAAGAAGGGGAAACTAAATAAATATCCCATAAAAGCAAAATAATTACAAACATATACCCCTTTATATTCATGTCCCACTAAATAATTACACTATTTATCCCCCAACTAATTTCGCTTAACTGATACTAAATCAATATCATATACTGTTTTGGTATAATTAAGGCTGATAAATTCACTTAATTGATATATATATATATATATATATATATATAT